CATCCAGTAATATGGGAAAGATTTATTGATTCATTTAGACTTTTTGACAGTAAACCATATCCTTACCTTTATCCTTATACTTACACTTATCTTTACCAATATCCTTATCCTTATCCGTGTTCCTATCCTTACCCTTATCCGTATCTTTATCCTTATCATTTTCCTTATCCTTATCGTTATCCTAATCCTAAGGCTAAGGAGCCTTATCCATATCCTTATCCCTTTATACTCATCCTTATCCATATCCTTATCCTTATCCATATCGTTATCCAAAGTCTTACACTAGATAGACCGACATATTTCCATTGACCCTAAACTTCCTATATACAGAAGTGTTTTAGCATGAAGAGCTTCTTCTATTCATTTATATTTCAATATTTTAGCCAACAACTTGGTATTCCATAGTCGCACAAATAACTGGGAGTTCATGTTTGTTATTTTGTTAATGCTTTTGGTGGTTCGCTTTCATTTAACTGCGCTGAGCGAACCACAAGAGGGTCGACAATTGCTGCAATCTTTGGAGAGTCTTCCCAGGAAGCCAGCCAACCAGTCGTAAATTAGTAGTTGCCACCAACCACAGCAAACACACACACACAGACACACACATAACAGATATACACTGAGAGAAACAAAACAAAAATCAATAAGAAGCAAAGAGTTGGCGATAAAATGAGATTTCTCAACCCAACGCAGAAGTATTGCAGCAAGTTTATATTTACATTTATATGCCTGAACTGCATAGCGTAGGCTCTTAATTTTTTGGTTCTAATTCGACTATTTGACAAAGCAGAAACCTCTAATCCATATATCTAATCTTCAAAATATTGTTTGTAGGAGAGGCAGACAGATGAACAAACTAACCAAAGTCGGTCAGATGAACAGACAGAAGACGAAGAGAGACGGGACGAAGAGACGAAGACGCAAAGTTCTTGCCTTTCAGGCTAGATGTAGCTTTTCGCTCTCTGGAAAAACGGCTACACTAGAGATATGTAGAAGGCCTAACGGACAGTTAAAGCAATGGAGTGCCGACCAAGCAGTTCAACGGAGATACGGCTCTGCCTCTACTAACTCGCCTTGCTAATCAAGAAATTCGCACAAAACCATAAAGGCAGGAATTCCCATTTTCAACAGAAAACATAACTGAATTAAGGTCCATTAAAAATATTAATAAATACATATATTCCCAAATATAATCAATAGGAATTGGAGTAAGCTCAAACGCAATCTCAACTTGAAAACTTCAACTTACTTAACTTCAACTTGATTAAAGTTTTAAGTGAGCTTCAGAGAAATTCATTGATTTAAAGAAAGTTCCATGGTCTCAAGTGGATTAAATTTGCACATAAACTCTTGAGAATTGCTTAATTAAAGTCAACTTACTTAACCGCTAGGAGATATTGGATTTGTGGCTAAATGAAATAATTGAAGTTTTTGTTAATGTGAATTCCAATCGGGGCGGGGTCAGGCAATGCAATTTGCAACGAGTTGCCGGAAATAAATATGAATGCATTCAACTAGGGCGAGGCAAAAGAAAAAATATTTATTAAATAAAATAATATATCAAATAAAAATAATTAAACAATTTTGTTTTTTTGTGAATACAAACAGAAACATTCTCTGACACAAAAAAAAAAAAAAACAATTAAATCAAACATTAAGTAAAACTATGTAATATAAAAAATATATGTTTTTTTTAATACAAATAAATACATTCCCCAACCCTACAAAAAATTAAGAAATAAAAGAATAAAATATTGAATAAAATGTTTTTTATTTAATCTTTATTTTTTAACCAGAACAAATTAAAAAAAAAAAACAATAATTTAATATCAAAATAATAAAACAATACATTTGTTTTATACAAACAAACAAATACATCCCTATTCCTATTACTAAAAAAAAAACAACTTAATAAACAAAATAAAATATAAAATTTTAATTTAAAAAAAAAAATATATTTCTAACCTCGAACAAATTAAAAAATAAATAAATAAAATAATATGTCAAAATAATAAAAATTTATGTATTTTTAAATACAATCAAATACATTCCCCAACTTATAAAAATATAATATAAATATATAAAATATAAAAAATATAAAAATATAATAAAATAAATAAATATAATAAAATATAAAATAAAAACAAATTAAAAATAAATAAATAAAATAATGTAAAAAAAAAAACAATTAAATAAACAAAATAAAATATAAAATAAAAACAAATTCAAAAATAAATAAATAAAAGAATGTAATATCAATAATATATATATATATATATATTTATATATATATATTTATATAAAAAAATATATAAAAATATTTTTACAATAATAAAAATATATATTTTTTTTAAACCCGAAAAGTCAGCTCTTAAAGAATATACTTTATTTGACTTCTATACAGATATGTACTATATATATATGTATATAGAGGTAGATGTATGTGTGTGTGTTTGTGCTTGTATTGTATGTATGTATGTATGTATGCATGTATATGCTATCATTTGGAAGTTGCCAGCCGTGTGGCACACAAATGGCAACTTAACGTTCAATGCAATTTGGTTCTTTGGTTGCCGTGGCCAATTATTTGTGCTGTTATCGTGGCCGTCACCGTTGCCATCAGACCCACAGGGAGACTGAGACAGTGAGACAGAGAGGGAGAGGAGGGGAGGGGAGGGGAGGAGGGAGTTGTGCCAGCCAACGTCGCGACGTTGACGTTGGGAATCGTCTTGCGAGTCTTGCAAAACTTGCAAACTAACAGCGGCTGAGTTGCGGCGACCTTCTTCTGTTGACCTCAATTTTGGCCAATAAGGTTGCCGCTTTTTGCACATGCCATGGCAGGTGGCATGCCTTTTGCTGCTGCTACTACCCATTGTTGTTGTTGTTGCTGTTGTTATTAGTGTTTTTTTCTCTTTCTTTTTTTTTTTTTTGGCAGCAGATTGAAGTGCAAGGCACGAAGCCCAGTGGACTGAAGTGGACGGGCAGCGAGTGCTAACAGAGCACAGAGCAACCCAAATGCATTGGGCCAAGTCGAACTGACAATTTCGCTCAGTGTACTTGCGTATTTTTCGTCTATTTTCATTTTTAATGGCAGCCGGGCATAATGAGCCGCAAGTACATACACACACATACATACATACATGCATATGTATATGCAACAGTGCATGTGTGAGTGTGTGTTTGTATTGGAAGTAAAGCATGTTTGGCATGTGTGTGTGTGTGTGTGTGTGTGTGTGTGTGTGTGTGTGTGTGTGTGTGTTTGGCCCATTAGGACTTGCCAACTCAGCGCGCTTTCTCTCTCTCTCTCTCGCTCTCTACCAGCGCTCCCTCTCCCCCCCTCTCTCTCTCTCTCTCTCTCTCTCCCTCTCTGTCTATGTGTCTCGGCCAGCATTGACACAATAAAACTTTTTCAGCACATTTTTCATTCGTGCCGCTTGTGTTGCAAGTGTAGCATTCTGCATTTATTGACGCATTTTGCTCTTTTGCATATTTGCGGCCGCCGCGTTGCATGCGACAAATGAAACAGTTTCGCCTCGTCGTTCGTTTCGTCACTCGATTTTCGTTTGCATTTTGCTTTTCACTCTCCTCCTCTTCTTTTTCTTCTTCTTCTTTTTTTCTCTGTTGGCCATTTTATGTCGTTTGGGGCAGCAAACATGCGACAATTCATCGATGAAAAACAAGTGCCATCCCCCATTACCCTCTTGCCTCACCCCGCCCCATCGAGCAACTGCTGCAACCCACTTAGATACAAATTGAATGGAGTCAAGTGCATTGCATTTGGCATACTAATAAATAAATGTGCGCAGATGCGTTTTGCAAAAAACGTGCCAAAAGCCTCAAATAAAATATTAAATGGTATTTAAGCCCGACAATGGCCGACGACGAGCTGCATACGTGCTCAATGCAACTGCAAATTGACACCATAAACAATGAGGAAATGATATTACAAATGAACGGATTTCCTACAAGTGTTCATCAAATTATGTTTTATGCCCATGCGGGATGATGACCCATTTTAATGCACTTATATACCCTGTAAATGACTATCAATTAACGAGAAATATTAATTAATCTGAGGGCAATTAGTTAAATATCTAAGATAGGTAATTATTTATTTATTTAGTTATATATCTAAGATAGGTAATTATTTATTTATTTATTTTAATTCACTCATATACCCTGTAAATGATTATACTTTGCCGCGTGATAATCATTAATCTAAGGGTAATTTGGAATTTAATAGGGTTAGATATACTTAGAGGGAATGCCCTTTATCATGGGATGATAGTTCATTTCATATACCCTGTAAATGATTATAAATTAACGAGAAATTGTAATTAATCTAAGGGCAATAAGTTTAATATCTAAGGGCTAGATATACATAGAGTGGATACCCTTTATCAACTCATATTTATTTATTTATTTAGTTTAATTCACTCATATACCCTGTAAATGATTATACTTTGCCGAGAATTATTAATTAATCTAAGGGTAACTTGGAATTTAATAGGGATAGATATACTTAGAGGGAATGCCCTTTATCATGGGATGATAGTTCATTTCATATACCCTGTAAATGATTATAAATTAACGAGAAATTGTAATTAATCTAAGGGCAATAAGTTTAATATCTAAGGGCTAGATATACATAGAGTGGATACCCTTTATCAACTCATATTTATTTATTTATTTAGTTTAATTCACTCATATACCCTGTAAATGATTATACTTTGCCGAGAAATATGAATTAATCTAAGGGCAATAAGTTAAATATCTAAGGGCTAGATATACTTAGAGGGGATACCCTTTATCAACTCATATTTATTTATTTATTTATTTTAATGCACTCAAGATAGAAGAATTTCCTTTGAATGCCCTTCTATGCAATTCTCATGCGCTCAAGAAGATGAAAAATTCGAAATTCTTGGTTGAAAATAAAGTTAATTTTATTAACAGTGCAATATAAAATTGCATTTGATAATTTTTTTTTTTTAGATTTTTGTGTGCTCCTTATGAATCACATAATTTTGTAATGTCCATTTATGTGGATTGTTAAACTTATCGTAAAATTTGAAATATCTAGGTTGATTTGATCGATTGAAACAACACTATCTACTAGCTACTAGCTACTAGCTACGCTAAAAACGGGTCTCAGCTCGAGTCGTAGTCGAGCCAGTGAAGCGGGTGCTGCACAACGGAATGCGGGAAAGTCCCGCATTGTGATGATTGTACGGCACTCGCTTCACTGTCGCGATACTGACATCTACCCCACGGTGCTCAAGCGATTGGAGGCCCTGTAGCGTAGTCGCCTGGTGGTCAGCGGTGGAGCCATCTTTCGCAGAATCATGTAGTCCTTGTTGAGCATGCGGCACAGCTCGATGAAGGTGCAGAGCTTGGGCGACTTGAGGTCCTTGGCCAGCCTATAGGCGGAGTTGAGCACCTCCGACTGCCGCTCGTACTTGCAGAGTATCGCGTGCGCCTTCGCCTGCATCATGGTGGCTAGAAATTCCCAGATCTTACTATTCGCCCGCCTCGCCTCATCGATGGAGCGCTTCGCATAGAGCAGGCACTGCACCAGATGATTCTGCTGCAGCAAACAATCCGCAATCTCGAACAGCAGATAGCTACGCTCGATGGGCAGCTTGGAGAAGTAGAGGCGCCTATCCAGCGTCGCTCTGGCCACCCTAGCGCACGTTTAAATATTATTCAATAATCTCCATGCTCATCTCAACTCAACTCAATGCAACGCAACTCACTTAAACGCCCTGACCTGTTCGCTGACAGGCATCGTCTCGTCATACACATACGACGGTCGCCTGCCAAACACAACTTGGTGCACCTCGGAGGGCCTGAAGGGATTGACGCCAAGCAGACGGCACATGGAATCGTTATCGTACGGCGACACCTTGTAGTTCGGTATATTAAACACCTCGCACAGGCTCAACGCCAAGTGATTGTACACCTCGTTCATGAACTCTATTTTCCACGGCATTACCGCCTTCGTCTTCAGCACTACAAACTCGCCCATTATCTTTGCCACAAACTTGCGCAGGCGCTATTCAAATGGTTATGAATTTCTACATTAATTTGGAGCATCGTATTCAAGCCAGAGGTGCAGAAAGTGCAAGACCCAGAGAGTTTACTTAGTCAAGTATATAGGTATTTTGTTTGTCTTACTGTCCCTGTGACTGTTCGTCCGACTACTAGTCCGACTATGATATGTACGACTGCTGGCTGTCCGTATGACTCTCCGTGTTATTGATTCCCGGATTATCTTTCCGACTGTCCGTTTGAGTGAACAACTGCCCGTCTAGCTGCTCGACTCTCTGCTCTACTACCCGCCGGATAATCTCTTCGACTGTCCGTCTGATTGACCGGCTATACGTTTGATTGATCGTCCGCCTAGCTATCCATCGAGCTACCTGTATAGCAGTCCGTCTAGCTTATCAACTGACTACACGTCCGACTCTCTCTTCTACCACCTGCCGGATGATCTTTCCGACTTTCCGCCCAATTGACCGACTATCCGTCTAATTGACCAACCGTCTACGTATCCATCTAGCTATGTGTGTAGCTATCCGTCTGCTAGTCTAACTGTCCGTCTAGCTGCCCGACTGACTATAATTGCGACTCTCCCTTCTACTACCTGCGTGTTATTCTTTCCAACTGTCCGCCCGATTGACCAACTATCCGTATTACTGTCCGTCCGTCTGCTCGTCTAACTTTCTATCTAGCTGTCCGTCTAGCTATCCGTCTATCTCTCCGTCTAGCTATCCGTCTAGCTATCCGTCTTGCTATCCGTCTAGCTGTCCGTCTAGCTATCCGTCTAGCTATCCGTCTTGCTATCCGTCTAGCTGTCCTTCTAGCTATCCGTCTAGCTGTCCGTCTAGCTATCCGTCTATCTATCCGTCTTGCTATCCGGCTATGTGTTGACTCACCTGCACGTCCTTCTGTTCGCGTATTTCGCGTATAGTTCGCAGTATCGATATCATACTGCGACGCGCCTGAAACTGTATACGAAACAAATTGGCCTGGTGGAGGCGGTCCATGACCCTTGGGTTGGACAAGCGTTGGTATTGCTCGTTGTACATGGGACTGCGACTGTGCAGCATTTTGATGAACCTTTTCGTACACGCATAGGAATTATTTAAATACTCCCGCCGCTCCTTGGCGGACTTGTAGTACTTGTCCATGAGCACAATCGGATTATGGCGCAGAGCCTTCAGGAAGGCAACATCTATCCAGGAGCCATTCAAATAGTTTTGATTGTAGATTTTCATCTTACGCTTGCGTCGCGCCGTCTCCATCGGCGATATCCGTATACTTTTCCTTTCCTTATGGCTGTTCACGTCGCACTCATTGAGATCCTTGAGCGCCCGCCAGCGCGTGTTTGTTGGCCTCATCCTTTCCGGCCTCAATGTCACCTCATAGATTCGGGTCAAGCGCGCCAAGTTCTTCAGAAAGAACGGACCCAGACTGGCGCCCACACTGTCCTGAAAGTTGCCGTTCACAACCATCAACCGACGTTGGAACGACATCCGCTTGGTGCCCTTGGCGATGAGCGAATTGTTGTGCAGCGCGATCTTGTTCTCCTCGAACCTATTCAGATCGTAGAGCGCATCGGCCACCTGCAGATTGACGTAGGGATTGCCCGGGGCAGCCTCAGCCGCCCGGTAGCTGTCCTTCAGTGCCTGCGCCGCATTGGCGATGCTCCGATTGAATCTGCTTCGCATGCACAGCGCCACGTAACGATTCGGATCCTGGTCATTGATGCTCTTGTCAAAGTAATGCAACGCCGACGCCTTGCATCGCGTTCTGGTCAGGCTCTGGGCCCAGCTGCGCCACATCGCGCGGTTCTGTTCGTCCGTATATGGATTCACCTCCCATGGATTCAGATGTGGTGCCACAGCGGCGGGCGGTGCTGGCTGGTACTGATCTGGCATGATGCTCCCAAATTTACTCAACAAAAATTATATATTAAAAACAACAAAAAAACGCGCTTTTTGGTTAAGAAAATAAATGAAAAACAAATTTCTTAAAAAAAAAAAAAAAACATAGAAAAGAAAATCTAACAAAAATTATTTAAATTGAAAACAGATTTAAATGAAACTAAAATCCAAAGTTTGCTATACATGTATTAAAAATTAAACATAATGACAAATATATACGGAATGCTTTGACTTTTCTGTTTACAATTTTTAAACGATTTTTCTTATTGTAATGCTCTTATATATATTTATTTTTTTATTTATAATTTTTTTTTTTTAAGTACAGCTTTAAATTTTTTAAATATTAAAAAATTTTCGAACAGCTTTATATTGTTTAAGAATTTTATTTATTATATAATAATTAATTATATATTATATTATATTGTTTCAATTTGCCAGAAAAGAAATAAAAGATTGCAGATAAATACAAAGTAAAATTGATTAATAATAGTTATATAATAACAAAATAAATAATAATAATAAACAGAATTTTACATATAAATACATATACAATACGATAAATTTATTTATAATGAGCATGGGATGGAATATAAAACTATAGAACAGATGAAACAGCTTTCTGTGCCATATAATAATAATAAAATTTATTATTTATTATTTATTATTTATTAAATAAATAATAAGCTATTTAGCATCTCAACATTTCGCCTTATAAAGCGGCGTTATGAGGCAGCTCCATTCAACTATTTATGTATGTATGTATATGCATATATGTATGTATATAAGTTCAATTCCATTAAATTTTCATTTAATTATCCATTCAACTATATATGTATGTATGTATATGCATATATGTATGTATATGAGTTCATATATCTAACTGTCTCACTGTCTAACATACAGTCTGTCTCTCCGTCCGACTCTCCATCTGTCCCTCTGTCAGTCTCTGTGTCTGTCTCTCTGTCTGTCTGAGGACGAAGAAGAACTACAAAATATCACTAAAGTTGTCTATATGTATGCATCAGCATTCATTTGGTATTTATATGTAGGTAAAACAAAGTTAGAATGCTCACAGCAGCAGAGAGCAGAGAGTGTTGCTTCCCATTGGTCCATTAAAGCTCAATTGCAGCGAGCTCTACCTGGCACCGCGCTCAACACTTGACTCAGTAGCTGAGTGAAAGTCGCCCTATATAAATACCGGCAGCTGCAGCATTTCTTCAGTCGTCCAGACCTGGTGGGACAGTGCACTGCGCTGAAGCGGGGTGTGTGAGGATATTTAAGGATCGTGCAGCTATTTACCGACTAGTTCTGTAACAAGCTCGTCTACGATCGGCTCGAAATCGTTTTTTGTTTCTCAGAGGGTAAGGAATCAATAATTCAATTATTGTAACCAAGCTAAAATAAGTTATTATAAAACATCACAAGCCCTTTGTAAATAAAAAAAAAAATTAATAACAATTTTACCACTTAAATAAATTTATGAATTTTCTCAAAATGTGTGTAAATAACATTATAATAGAAAAATATATATGTATATATGTTTATAGTGCCTGATCTTTTAACATTGATTACGATTAATTAAGAATGCGGCCCAATTGATGTTGGTTGATTTACTTCCTCGCCTGCGCCTGCCCCTGCTCCTGCTCCTGCTACTGCTACTGCTACTGCCCCTGCCCGTGCTACTTCTCCTGGAATGGATCTTTGCTTATATACTTGTCCAGTTGCGCAGCAGCATTTTCCTCCACTTGGGACAGCTCCGAGAAGCCCTCCTCATCGACAAAGCATATCTCGTGGCCATCGGGATCGGCCAGAATGAGAACCGTTACGGTCGCCTTGCCGGGTGTGTCCAGTGTTATCAATGGCTTCAATATGGTGCCGCCCGCCTTCTGGACCTCATCGAACAATGGCTTCTGGATGGCTGCAGGCACCGCAAAGGCAATGCGACCATATGCCTTGGCCCGATCCAGGGGCTCTTTCAGAGCCGTGAGACGAAGAGCTGTCTGCTTCGCATCATATGCGAGCACAATGGAGTCCTCGCTGGCATTCAACACCTTCATCTTGAGCAGCTCAGACCAGTACTTGCGTGACGCATCCAATTTGGTCACATGGAGCTCAACCTGTTGCATCGGATCGCTGCCGGGCGATGTGTCCACAATGTAGAACTTATAGCCATCTGGCGAGGTTAGAACACTTTTGTCGCCCTGCTTGGCAACTGGATATGAGTGCTCGGCGGCACGCTTTAAGATATCCTTGGAGTTGATGGTGATGCCGCCAAAGTCGTTGCCTAAAATATGTAGGAGGCGGTGAAGAATGAGAAGCAACTAGGAGGGAGTAAAAGTTACCCAAGTCATAGCTCTTCACGCCATAATTATACGTTAGCTCGATGACAAAATGCGACTTCTCTGGCCCATAGCCGACCATGGTCTTGCTCCAGCGATTATCATAGGGTCTGCGCATGAAAAGCAGAGATTAGAGAATTTCTAGAGTCTTAAGAATGCATCTCCGCCCTATGGCATACCCGTTGCATTCGGCATCGCAGCCTTCTTTGAACTCCTCGTGTCTCAAAACCTATTGTGGAAGGGAGAAACTTCAAATCAGTAACTTCTTATCTAATATCTATTATAAGCACATAATAAGCAATTGTTGACGAAATTGCCAAGTCATGTTAATCAGATAAAATATACAGCCGTTCACAATTATAATTGCCACCCATACATGCAAACTGATACACATATACATGCCGTGTGTACAGCGATGCTTATAGCCGGGCTTTGCGACTTGGCAATTAAGGTGCGCTTCATCTCACCTGCATTCCCAGAATCGTGCGAAAGAAGAACGAATTCTTGCTGCGATCACCAATTTTGAATACATAGTGCAGAGCTCGTCCTGGTACGGCCGTCATATTGTATTATCTACAATCAATTTCGAGATACTTTCAGCAGCGTATAAGCACAAACTGAGACAAGTGATACTTAGACACTTGTTACTTGGAGAAGTAATAAATTGTGTTGCCTGTTAAGTGTGGAGCAAGCTCTGTTATGTTGACACACATAATGTTAATCATAGAGCAATCGATAGATTGTAGAGCTTGGCGGGTAACCAATTTGCGTTTGCCGTTGCAGTAAATATTTTAACAATTCATTCCCTGTCTGAGACACTTAAATAATATTCAAATTCTACTAACTAAAACATTACATTCTAAGTACTCTTCTTGAAAATTTTCAAAGGAAACGAAAAGTTTACATTTAGAGGAAGCAGAACTGCCAACCTGCATGAATTACTGTGCGCTGCTTTGAGTTTGTTGTGTTCAGATATCGATAACACTAATATATATTTCTGTCAAACCACATCGCTAAACAACGGAATTGCTCTTGTTGTGTAACTGAAACGCATAGATTTATTAAGTATTATAATATTTTAAAGCTAATATACGAAAAATTTTACATATAATTTCTACTTGCAGGCGCCCACAATGTCAGCATCCGCCGCCCGAGGTTCGACATCGCTGTTGAAACGCGCCTGGAACGAGATTCCCGACATCGTCGGCGGCTCGGCCATGGCCCTTGCAGGCCTCATCATGGGTGGCATTGGCCTGGCCAATTACTACGCTAAGGATGGTGACAATCGTCGCTACAAATTGGGATATGTTGTGTTCCGGCACGATGATCCACGCGCCCAGAAAGTGCGCAACGATGACGACGAGTAATCAAATAATTGTGTACCCTTTGTTTTCATTCTTTCGCGCTGCCGCAATACAAAAAAAATAGATAAGTAAAAGAAATGTATACAAATAGTTTCGGTATATATATATATATATTAATATAGATAAGTCTGTTAAAAGTGAGACCAGAGCAGAGTCTATTGTCCTGGCGTATAGAACATGAACTGAGAGTTCCGATGATTCACTTTATGATGCTTTTGATAGGCCGCCAGCGTGTGATAGCATTCATTGCACAAAGCGCACTGATAATTCGTTGCCGATATGATTGATATGCTGGTCCTTGGGGCCATATCCTGGACCAATTCAGCCTCTTCGATTAGGTCTGCAATCTCGGTACCTAGGTAAATGAATAATTTTGTATTCAACATATTAATGTTCAACGTGAAGAACTTAGAAACTTACCCTCGCTTGGCTCGTGCTTGAACACAATTGTTTCTGCCTTAATGCCAGTAGCATGGGCTGGCACTATAGATTCCAGCTTTGTTTCAATTGCTTTTCCTGTGCATTTGAGTGGTAACTGATCGTTAGGGGATATTGACTGCGTGAAGCGGGATCGATTGCGACGTTGCTCAAACTTTAAGGCCACAGTGAATTCATTAGTTGCCGTTATCCACTTATTATTAAATTCATAAATCATAACCAGTTTCTTGATGCAGACCCGGCATATCTGCTTGGGATAGTCATCGTCCTCGCTCAACGCTGGTAATGATGCCGAGCTGGGCAAGCACGACGACAATATCTCCGATATCAGAATGTTTTTATCCAGCACCAAAACACTATCGTCGAATATGTCCAGTGCATCCAAACAGTCGTTGCCGCAAGTGCGGCAAATATTTTCGAAAATATCCATTTCGAATGTTAATGCTACCAGTTTACAATGTATATTAAATTTGAGTGAATGACATTGTATTTATTCGATGTTGACAACTTCTATTTATTTATACGAGATGTGTACTTTGAAAACTCGCGATCAGCCAACTGCGGCGGCTTTTATTAACACAATTATCAAGTTTTAGAGACGCCAGCAGCATTAAATGATAAACAATGTTGAGTAAATATCGATGAACTGTAATTCATCGTGATAGTAGATAATTTAAGCGATGGTTTGTTGTGGACATAACTCGGTATCGCTTACTCATCTCTAGTTTTGTTGCAAGCAAAACAGCAATGCAGCGAAAACTAATTTTGTTCAGCGTTGTCATCCCGTTTCTAATCACTAATCCGGTCAGCCATGCCATTCAAGCGCGCAGTGACAAGGAACAGACCCAAACTGTTGTTTCCGGTACAGCTGTACAATCGGTTGTACCCGTCCAGGCCCAATCACAGGTTGGTTCCAATTCACAAGCAGCTCCCACGTCCAACTCAGCGTTTAATCCGCTGGGGCCGACTGTGATGTGCTCGTTTCTGCCTCGAGATTTTCTCGAATGCAAGGAGCCCATTGACCATCGGAATAACGATTCGGCACGCAATGAGAAAGGCTACGGCTGTCTGCGTTTTGGTGGCTCCAACTATGAGGACGTTGAGCACACCAAAGTCCAATGCACCGTCTACACGGACATTGACTGTTACGGCGCGCGCACATTCTTCCGGGATGGTGTGCCATGTGTACGCTACACGGATCACTATTTCGTAACCACATTAATATACAGCATGCTGCTGGGCTTCCTGGGCATGGATCGCTTTTGCTTGGGACAAACCGGCACTGCAGTAGGCAAACTCTTGACAATGGGCGGCGGCGGAGTTTGGTGGACTATAGACGTCATATTGCTAATAACAAATAATCTTCTGCCAGAAGACGGCAGCAACTGGAATCCATATGTTTAAGCTATATAATATGTTTTAATTCATTGTAAATAAAATAAATATTAAGATCAATTTAAGATTTGTTTGTATATAATAAAAGATTAAGTTTCTACATGCATATCTAATTGGTACATAGCTTGCTGAAAAATTATGTACAATTTTAAAATCAAGTAATATTAAAATATAACATTTTATTGTTGCAATTTGCAATCAAATATTTTTAAATTTGGCAAAAATCTTGCAATAGTTAAATATCAATATGACCAGCACTGCGCAGATATCGGGGCTCATAAATATCGATAAGAGAATCACGTTATTTTTGTCATCACTGCAATGGCCGCTTATCAGCTACTTTGAAAAGACAAGAAACAACGCATATAAATTCAGTGCAACTAAACTCTATAACAGTTTGCCATTGCAGCTGGTAGTTGCCAGTCAACTAAATCGAATTCGCAAAGCCTACACTTTTATCTATATTGACAAATTGTACACATATATATCAATTATTATATATACACATACACGATTAGCTGAGCTCTGACAATTTTTTTCAATTGCGCTGTCAACGCCATTTTGACGAATACGCAGCTGTAAAATGAAATATTTTGCAGCAACTTTGGCGCTGCTGGCTCTGGTGGCCGTAATCGCTGCCACAGAGGATGGTCCCCATATGCTAAGCGATGAATTCATAGAGCTGGTGCGCAGCAAAGCAAAGACATGGACGGTAAGTTAGAAATTATTATATTATATATGATGATGACGTGACATTTCCATTGTTTATTTCCATTAGCCTGGTCGCAACTTTGATGCATCTGTATCAGAGGGGCATATACGCGGCCTAATGGGTGTCCATCCCGATGCGCATAAGTTTACGCTGCCCGAAAAGAGCCAAGTGCTCGGCAATCTGGTGGGCGATGACGATGACGATCTGCCCGAATCGTTTGATGCGCGTACTGCCTGGCCCAACTGCCCCACCATTGGGGAGATACGTGATCAGGGCTCATGCGGCTCCTGTTGGGCATTTGGTGCTGTCGAGGCGATGTCCGATCGTGTAAGTTGCGATGCCCCACTGACCCATGCCTCGCACAACACACACACAGACAAAGTACAAAGCAGATGACGCAGCTGCCTTTGTGCTTATCACTGTTTAGATTATCAATTTCACACAATTGCGTTGAATTGCTGTGTTATTTGTGTACAGCTTTGTGTCTGTATATGCGTGTGTGTGTGTGCAAGTTCTTTGTTTAGGCTGAACAATTTGTTGACTTGTTTTATTTGTAGGTGTGCATACATTCCAATGGCACTGTAAACTTCCATTTCTCGGCTGATGATTTGGTCTCGTGCTGCCACACTTGCGGTTTTGGCTGCAATGGCGGATTCCCTGGCGCCGCCTGGAGTTACTGGACCCACAAAGGCATTGTGAGCGGTGGCTCCTACAATTCTAATGAGGTAAGTCCATTCAATACTGAAATGTTGTTCTTAGTTATTCAATGGCCGTTTGGCCTGTTGCAGGGTTGCCGTCCCTATGAGATCGAGCCCTGTGAGCATCATGTGAATGGAACACGAGCACCCTGCCAAAGTACAGGCAGAACCCCTCGCTGCCAGCATCAATGCGAGTCGAGCTACTCCGTTGATTATACTAAAGACAAACACTTTGGCTCCAAGTCCTACTCAATCAGGCGCAATCCGCGTGAAATTCAACGCGAAATCATGACAAATGGACCGGTTGAGGGCGCATTCACAGTCTATGAGGATCTGATATTGTACAAGTCGGGCGTCTACAAGCATGTCCATGGCAAAGAACTGGGCGGCCATGCCATACGCATACTCGGCTGGGGCGTTTGGGGCGATAGCAAAGTGCCCTACTGGCTAATTGGCAACTCATGGAACACCGACTGGGGAGACAACGGATTCTTCCGCATTGTGCGTGGCGAGGATCATTGCGGCATCGAGAGCGCCATCTCTGCTGGCCTGCCCAAGCTGTAAGCCGCCTTCCTCAATACGCCCAACTATCTGCTTAATATTGCTTATTAATGCATTCAAATATTGTTGATACGATATTACTGACGTTTTAAATACCACTATACTGTATGTAAAACACAATTAATTAGCTGCGACTTTAGAGAATAAATAATTATTATCATATTTTACACATCTATGTACACGTCTGGGATGTCGTCGAACTAATGCAAATTGTGTGCTCATAATGTATGCCCATATGGATTTATCAGCAATTCAGCGACGCCAGCTTTCAATTAGTCAGCCACGGGACGAGCTCAATTATACGTTTCGCTGAACGCCCCTTATTTCCAGCTCTTGTCTGTTTTGCTTTACGGTTCAAGAACCTCCACGCTTTGTAGCATATACGTATATATGTACATAAAAAATCAATTGTTTGCTTTTTTCACATCAGTTTTTATTGGTTTTTCTCATTTCATAACATCAAATAGAACATTTTTTTTATGAACATTTTTTTTTTTTTTTAGTTTTTCTTATAATTTTTTTCTTTGCACATTACTTGAACTGCATATTACCATCTCGCTCTGGTGTAACAAACATCTAACATAGATCGAAAAATATTTGGACAGCAATTTGGAGTTGAAGCAACCTCGTGGAATTCGAATTTTGGATAACAGCTTGTCCAGTTGTTCAACAATAACTCGTCCTATCTCTCTACAAAGTTTACTTTGTGGAAAATGTGTAGATATATAGATACATACATATATATATACGTCTCTTTTTTCGCACATACATATGTATGTATATGTTTCTCGTTCTGTATGCAGATTAACTTTTTCTCATTTGACTTTTGGGTTTTTTTTTTTTTTTTTTTTTGTAAATAGATATTGCATCTGGAATTACTCCAATTTCTTTTTGTATTTAGATTTCGATTATCTCTCATTTTTTGTATTATTCATTTATAATTCATATTGGACTTTTGGACAACATATATATACACAATATATATGTATATATATATTTTTTTTGCTGTTTTTTTTATTTTTACTTTTTTTTAACGTCAGCTGGGTTCTTATCAGCTAAATGGTGGGTCATTAAATTATTCATTTAATTCGAATTGTTTTAAGCTATATAAAGCACAATTAGAATAGAAATTGAAGCATAAGAGTCTATAAAAGAGTTTAAAAAAAAAATCGGGGAAACTTTGGAAGGAAACTCGTCAGGAAACTTGGCAAAATTTGATTGCTCAAAAAATCATATTTTGTTTTGCTTTATTTTGTTGTTGTTGTTCATTTGTAAACTGAGAGTCTCTATTACTAGATAATATCAATATGGATGAACTTAGTCGATATATGTATAAATATATCTTCTTTTCTTTAGATTTTAGAGGAACGTATATAATTGTTTTTCTTTTTTTTTTTATGTTTATGTTTTGAAACACCTGGCTTTTCAATAATATCCCGTTTTTTTTTTTTTAAATAGCTATAGGTGTAACGTTGCATATATGTATTTATATATATACACATATATATTTATATTTGGATCCATTGTGTTCCGGTTGTTTTACATGTTTATAGTTTTTATATTTTAGTTACATTTGTGTGGACAATATATACATATGTATATATATACATATATGTCTCTATACATATATATGGTTCGCTTTTCATCAGGTAGCATTGAGTGTAGGATTACTTGAAGATTCTGTCATCAATATCAACGTATACTATATACTCAATTATTGTTTATCACAAATGAGCGTCGGTTGTTTGTTTGTTTGTTTGTCTGTCTGTTTCTTGTTGCACCCGGCCAAAAGGTGGATACACATAAATATATGCATTACTCTCAACTATGTATATATGTATATACATATACATATATGGTTCACGAGATAACACTAACAGCTACTGAACTTTTAACGAATTCGCATTCCCAAATAGTTTTTTATATTTTTAATTTTTTTTTATAAATATATATTATTTTTATATAATATGCTTGTTTATTTTTTTTTTTTTTAATTTTGCATTGTTTAATAACTTTTTGTTGGATCTGCAGTAGAGAAAAACTATCACAATTATAGAGAGATTTCTAATGTGTTTCCTCAAGGACTCGAATTAGAAACAGATTGTTTTCCTTTGCATTTTGGAACAATTTTAATATATTTTTCATCTTTTTAGCTTTAGCTTTACACACACACATAAATATATATATATATATATTATATATTTATATATAATTATTTATAGAAATAGAATCTTTGCTGAGTAATTAATAATTGTTTCAGAAGCAATTTCAATATATATTTTATATATTTTTATACGGTTTTGTTTGGTTTCGGAAATGCATTGAATTTGTTATTTGATTTTGCAACGCTTTTTACCTTTGCCAGCTACATAGAGCCGTTCTCTCAGCTAGATCTTTTTGTATTACCAACTGCAAGTTGTACTTAGCTTCAATTGTTATCAACATTCTTGTTTTTATACCACATTTATTGAACTTTGTTCGCTTTGTTTTGGTTTTGTTTTGTCTTCTCATTTTCTTTTTTAATTTTTTCATATGTATGTTAATCGGTTTCATATGTATATATGTATATATTTATGGGTTGACTTTGTTTTTTGTTATACAATTATAGCATATATGTAAGCTCACATACTACACACATATACATAGGTGCCCACACATACATATTTATATATATATATATATATATATATATATAAGCTGCTCATCAATTTTTATTTTCTTCTCTTTTTTGCTTCATTAATTTTGTGTGATTTGTTTTTGTTTTTACTCTTTATGTGGTTTGAAAAACCATCAAACAACAGGAGGAAACAGTCTTTCTTTCCAGGTACCTGGGAAATAGATATGAAAAGAAATAACAATTACTGATTATTTTCTATTATATGCAATAGAGTACATTTACTGGTAAAGGTAAAAGAAAACTATTTGACCTAAATTTTTAATATAAAGCTCCAAATCTTTGTCATACTAGTATTAGTATTTATATAATGTCCAAAGTGCATTTCATTTCAAAATATAATTCCCTTAAATTTAATTTATTTAACTAAAATAGCTGTCCTAATCTCTAATTGATCATCCGTATTCATCTATCTCTTTTGAAATTTCCTTATCAGTTAATTTACGACTATTAATTCTACTATTGTGCATATGTATCTCCCTAAATTGATATTAAAATAAGTATCTCCAGTTAGATCTCCAGTATTCGATTCGTGCGCTAACTAATCATTTTTCTTATTTTCTAAAAAGCTTGAACTAAAGGATTTAGAGACTTTATGGCAACTATACTAATCTCTAATGTTTAATTAATCTCATCTCTTAACGCATTTGAATATAGAATCTAGAAAGTTTTCTCCTATATCGGCACTTATATATAACTCTAACTATCCTTGATTGATTTCTTACTATGAATAACGGTAATTGCAGCTAGCTGCAATCGATATCTACTTACCGCGTGACACATTTGACTTTTGTTATATGTTGTACAATTGATTTAGTTTTTTTTTTTTTATCATTTTTTGAATTTTTCATATATATATATTTTTTTTTTTGTATCTTGTATATTGTATATACACCATATATGTAGTTGGCTATATATTGCGCATAATATAACGGGCTTTATGTATATACACAGATGTTGCATATGGTGGCAATCGATGCTGAGATGTTGTTGTTGCTATTGTTGTTGTTGTTAAACTGCAACTAATGCTGATCCAATAGTATGCTTAGATGTCATCTAAACATATACGAAGCGTTTTGCTTGATAGGTACATATATGCTGGTTTATTTATTATTATAAATATAGTTGATTGCTAGTTGCATGGCTTGTATTTGTGGGAGTTGCTGGTTGCGTTAGATTAATCGATAGATTTGCATATCGATATGCTATAAACTAAAATGCATTACTCATCACGCACACATTTCTCTCTAAGCTCACGCTCTCGCTATCTCTCTCTATCGGTTATCTATTGTGACGCTCTCTGTTAGGTTGCTCCTCTGCTGGGATCGATCTAGTGATGGCTCAGGTAGGTTTTGCGTTTAAGATAGCCGCTGCGTATCGGCGATGATAGGCCCGTCTCATTGCTGCACATTTGAATCGGTCGAGTTGATGATGCATTTGTGGCATGTGCGTGTGTGTGTGTGTGTGTATTGAGGTTTTGTGTAGATTCAATGCGAAAATGTTTGTAAAATAAAATTTCATAAGGATATGCATTTGGGGGGTTTTTTTTTTTTTTTTTTTTTTTTGTGAAAAAAGAGACAGAGGAAAAGTTGAGAAAGATTTCAGTTGATGACGTATTTTTTCCAATTGGAGGCATAAGTACTATATTTTTTCTTTTATTTCCTTTTCATTTTTGTTTGCAGCCAGAGCACAGAACAACACAATGCTCCTCTAAAATGCATTTAAAGCATATCAATCAAATCAACTCAACTAAAAATATTAAGTTATGAACGAACGCTATACACCAAATTTGCATTTAATATTTTCTTTTGCTTTTTTTTTTTGTCTTCCTTCTTGTCTCTGTTTAATTGTTTGTGTTTGGTTTTTTAACGGTTTATCTAATGCATCACGGTGTTGCATATCTACAGTGTTGGTAAACGTTTTTAAACTTCATTGGTAGCTTGTTCATGCAGCCTGTATTGATACACACACATTCACAATATATATACATACATATATAATCGGATTGGATATGTGGGTGAATGTGTGCGAGACAGCGAGTGAATAGTATGTGTGGATTGGTATACGTGTGTGTTGTGTGTGTGTGTGAGTTTGTGTGTGTGCAGATCGCATCAACGGCGAGGGGGTGGGCGTGACGTGTGACGGTAAGCGGTTTAAGCGTTGTTTATTACAAATCAAGAAACAATCAAAGAAAAGATACAATTTGAAATTATATTCTATGAAATATACATATGTATGTATGTATTTATACAAATACTAAATGGGTAGTTAAGCATTTTTATTGTACATATATATATATATTTTTATATATTTGTGATATATATAATTTGTGTCTAAATACACGTATACGTATGTATGTGTGCTTGTTGCTTTTGGCTAGATTTTGTCCCTGGTTTCTTTTTTCAGTTTTGTTCGCATTAATTACAATAACAATAATATCAATCCAAATAATATAATATAAAAAAGCACTAATAAATACATATATATACATATATATATATAAAGATATTCATACACATTTATCAAAATAAGAACAATATAATACTAGAACTTAGCATAAGATAATACGGCATTTCAACTATCAATAACTTAATAATAAAATAAAATATAGTTTTCACTTGATCATTTTCTTTTGGTCGACTAGGCAAAGTTTTGTGTCTAGGACGATTGGTCAGGGGCAGCGGGGCAGCGGGGCGGTGTCAGGTATCAGGTATCGGGTGTTATAGCCGCAGAGTCACTCCAGTCCCACTCTTTGCCCTCGTTCAGCTGGCCAAGGCTGTTGCTGATGGGCGTGCCAGGCAGCTGCGGCACCTCGAACGCATTGCTGATCATTCAAATCATCGATGGATGTTGGGTGGGTGATGGAAGGCATTTGGAAGGAGATATGAGGCATGATTAAGTGACTCCGCGGAGTGACAGAGAGAGAGAGAGAGAGAGAGACAAACAGATAGAGCTTGGCTCGAATGTAGTTAGCTGAGTTACAAACGACTTTTCACATGGCCAGGACGAATGCGTTATTGTTGTACGGGACACAGACTTACATACATATATGTATACGGTTAGATCAGCACCGGACAGATGACGGGCTGAGCATGCGCCGTCTCAGCGGCTCAAGCATAAGACAACAATTAAAGTAATCAATCAAACATAGGCGTAAGCAAACAAAGTAGTTAACAAACAACTTAAAACAATAATAAAAAAATAAATAAAAATAAAAGATGCACTAAACACCAAATACTTAGAATACAATTAGATTCTCTAGAATAATTATCGCCGATTAGGACTAACACATACACATACACATACATATGTACAATTTACACTGAGAGATGACACAAGACTCGGCCAGTGCAGCAGGGAGTCTCGTCTCACCCGCCCGCCATCGGGGGCCGGCAGCGTGGAGCAACAGGAAGGGAGCACCTACCTTCTGCGTCGCGGATTGGCCGACTGTCCCGGCAGATTGAAGCAGCCGCGCGGAATGACCATGCGCGCATTACCCTTGGCCGGACGGGAGCCACCGACGGCCTGCAGGCCAGCCAAGTGGGCGGCATAGCCCTCGCTGAGCACCGTGGCATTCGATTGCAGTTTCTTGCCCACCTTTTGGGAAGATGGGATATTATTAGTATCTTGCTATATGGGTAGGAAGGTAGGAAGGGAAGAGATCGATAGGAGGTAGGAGTTCGGATACCTTGCCCACAATAAAGATCTGCTCCGGCCGCATGCCCACATTGGTGTACACGCTAATATCCTTGCTGCTGCCGTAGGCGGCGGTAATTGAGATTCCATGGTTCTGCACGAGATTATTGAGATAGGCGGTCTTGTGGCCCAACGGATCGGTGGATAGGCCATCGGCGAACGAAATCAGACCGTGGGGAAAATTGTGCTGGCTGAGCCAGGAGACGACACGCTGCTGCTGCATGTCCGGCCGTCCGGTAATGTAGATTAGCAGATAGCCCAGCTCCTGCCAATGGCGGCAGACATCGACGGCGCCAGCGCGCACCTTCGGATCACGCCCAGTCACCGACATGGATGCCGTGAAGGAGCCGTCAATGCTAAACACAACACACTCGGTCAACGGCGGCACCACAGCCATATAGCAGTCCACAGATGTGTGATCGCCGCGCACCACCATCTTGACCGGATAGATGCCATAGCCCAGAGACAAATGGTCGGGAATGGTGTACGAGATGCGGCCATTTTTGTCGGTCATTTCGGTGCTGAGGAATGTCCATTCGCCCGCCGGCGGATCCTTCATAATGTGCACATCCACCTTCTCCCCATGCAGCGTGATCATGTCCAGCGGCCCGTACATGAATCGTGCATTCAATCGCTGCTCCCGTCCCTCCTGCACGATGACATCGTTGGCCCGATGATTGGCCGCCACATTCTTGAGCTTGACGGATGTGCGCTTCTTGATCCACTTCTCGCGCGGCTGACCCGGATGGAACGAAGCGTTGTCCTTGTCATCGTGGGAGCCCACAAACGGTATGCCCTCGAATTTGCCGATTTGCCGCAATATGAACGCAATCACATCGGGACTCTCCCAGTAGCTGGCATGGAATAGATGCGGCAGAGCATGTGCCGGGAAATTGCTCAGCCCCTCGGGACAATAAAGAGCATAATCCAAACGCTTTGTGCCCCACCATTTGTTCTGAACTGCAATGCGAAAGTGTTTGAAGTCAGTCGAAGGGATTTGCGGATCTTTAAAGAGCTCGGACTTACGCGAGTGTATGGTGCTGAGCGAGACATTCTCAATGAGGCCCGAGATGGTGCTCTGCATGGATGCATCCGAGAGTCGTCGGCCCGCAGAGAGCAAATTATTGCCGTCGTTAAAGTGCTGCGGATGCGATTGTATTACTTCCACTGCATTGGAAGGAAGGAGAGAGAGACAGATATATGCATGTGTTACTGTAATTCATGTGACAACGAGAGAGAGAGAGGGAGAGGGAGAGAGTCTACTCACATAAATGCAGCGGCTGTCCATTGCCCAGCGGATACTTGGCATAGCGCGGCACATTCACCGGCGACAATATGGAGAAGCGTGCACTCAGCAGGGGCTCCAGGCGGGAGGCAATCGGGTCCGTTGGATGGAACAGATTGTACACCTGATGGCAATTGGGGCGGGCCAAAGCCGTCTTTGAGTCGTGCAGCTTCCGTGCGGCCAGGACCACCGACAGCGGCGAGCCGAACATGAAAAAGTCGCTGACCTCAAAGTCCAGCTTGGTGGCACGCGAATCGCTGGAGGAACTGGAGCGACGCCGTCGCGGCGATGGTGCCACCAGCAAACGCTTCGCATCCAGGTCGGAGTCAATGAAACGCTCATCGTCATCCATGCGCGACATGCGACTACAGTCGCCAGCGCCAGAGCCAGCGCCGCCGGCTTGGCTGTGGCCGGCGGCCTGCGACGAATTGCCGGCATTCGGCTGGCTGCCGTTGGAGCGACAGAGGGCCTCATAGGCCAGCAGTGAGCCCATGGAGTCGCCCAGCATGACCACTTGGCCCGAGAAGCCGTGGCCCTCCTCCGACTTAAGGAACTCATGATAGACAATATTGGCAGCGGCCACCGTCTTGTTCACCGTCTCCTGGAACTCGGGCGAGGCCACGGCCAGCAGCGGTATGGCTCCGATCGGCACATCCGCTATGTTGGGTATGTCCGCGGCCGAGGGCGACGCGTCAAACGAATACGGACTGAGGCTCGAGAGTATGCCCAGGGCATCCGTGCAAATCGATGGGCATGGCACCATCTTAATGGTCAGGTGCGTCAAGAGGCTGGGATAATGCTGGCGCATGACGGCCTCAAAGGAGCCCTTGAAGGTGGTCACATCCGACTTCTTGGCGGTCAGCTCACTGGCCGCATCCAGAACGCTGCCGGCGTGCACCACCAGCATCAGTATGGTTGTGGGGCAAGAGGGCGTGCTCGGCGAGCCCGGCGGCGATGAGTCGTGACTGCGATCGATGCTGGCCGAGGAGCGTAGCTGACGCTTATTGCCGCGCTCCGATGCGACGCGCATCAGAAAGTCCTGATTGAAAATGCTGTCCTCCTGCTTGTGGCGTCCGGCCACGCTGCCAGCACCGCCGCTGCCACTGGAGCTGCCGCCATGCGGAGGCGGACTGTCATCGCCCTCGCCCAACAGCTCCAGTGAACTCCACTTGGCCAGCGAGTTGGTCTCATTCGTGTCTGCAAAGTGCGAGCATTAATCGAAGCTGCATAAAGAGCCGGAGGATCGAGATCGTGTGACTCACCCAAGCAATCGAAGAACTCTTCATCCGAGTTCGATTTGGAGTCCACTTCCAGACGTTCCATGCGCCAGTTGGCCACCTGGGAAACCACAAACGAGAATCATTAGCAATTGCCCAACTGGAGATTCTGGAGTTGAGCTGCTCTCATACGGTATTTATGGTCAACTAGGGTCCTAAATGCTGCAGCTGGATCGCAACTTACATGACGGCGTACTGCTGGCTTGCCATGCGCCTTTTTCGACTGCTCAATATCGATCGGGTCGGTTACGTTTCATATCATTTAATCGGTATTCGGTATTCGGTGTTGAGTGTTTTGTGGTTGATTGTTGATTGGATTTGATTTTGTATGACAAGAGCAAATCAAAGATTATTTATATGGTAAATCACACACACACACACACACATACACGCACACACAGAGCGATAGAGGAAACAAAAAACAGATACACACATATACATACATATGTGGATCGAATTTGCATTTCAAAATTTGCACTAATCATAAAGCCAATAAAATAATCAAAATTTGAATGCAATGCAAATTCCATTCGATTGGTTCATCAGTTCAATAAAGCTACGAAACGGATGATGAAATAATTGATAGATTGATAGATAATTGTGCTTCATTATGAAAATGTATAAGGAGCATTTCAACTGCAGACTTGGCGATGCTTATAGACAAATGAGATGTTCGAGGATGGTCATAAGACATGGATCCCAATAAAACAAATGTGAGAAGACAATGGAGTCGATACACTGAGGATGAGACAACGAACAGAGAGCAGAGCTACTGTGCTACGAGTGCAGCAGCAATTGGATGGTTGTGGACAGCTGCTGGGGCGCCTTGCTCACCTGCAGGTCAAAGCTGTGCGCGGATCCCACGGGCGAATGGAGGGCGCCCTTCGAGCCGAACTTGGCCTTGTTGGCCAATTGAATGCTTTGGGAGCGGGAACGTTGATTGGCACTGGTCTGGGCACCCAGCTCCACATGGCTGCCGACGGCATCGTTCTCATCCTCGTCATCGTCGTCCTCATCGTCCTCATCCGAACTGGCCTCGGCGCTCGGCGGCTGCTGGGTAACAATGGGCGGCACAGCCGGCGCTGATTTCTTGCGCTCACTCGTGCCCGATGCGGGTGCCGCGGTGGCGCTGCTCACATATGGCTCCGAGGTGCTGTCTGTGGGATTAACATCGAGGGATTAACACGACTGCTCCACAATGTTCTCAAAAGGCCTCTGCTTACCATCGCTGCACTCCTCGCCGCCGCCCATTTTCTTGGCTAGAGCCAGCTGCGTCTGACGCTCCAGCTCGCGTATGTCCTCAATGGTGAGGCCGTGCCACTCGTCTTGCCACGCCCAGGCCTGGCGATGGGCCCGCAGCATTGTCTTCCGCAGCGCCACGTCGTGTATGAACTTCTCCAGCTTGGTCTGCATGCCCCAATAGCGGAATTCGACGCGACAAATCTTATAGGCCGTCATCAGGGCCATGTTGCGGGACGTCGGCTGCTTCTTGCCCTTCACCTCGCGCCAGTACTCCTCTAGCCAATCGTCGCCCAGCGGGCCACGGCCCGTCTTCTCTGATACAAAATGCTTGGGATCCTCCTCCTTCACATAATCGCCGCCCCACAGCTGATCCTTCACAATATCAATCACATCTTTCCGGAATAAAAGAGGAAGAAGAAGCAGTAATGTCAGTTAATAAACGTTTCTCCGTGCACAATTCGATTTGAGAGACTCACCCACGACGCGATTGCGCAGATCGCTGCCCGATAGCTGGAACACATTGTCCTGGTACCCATTGTCCGGATGGTAATAGGTCTCGATATCCAATGAGAATTTCTCCACAAAGGGACAGGTGTAGCGTGTGCGCGTATATGGATAGGCATTCCATGCCTCCTCCTCAACGGTCAGTGCGCTCTTTGGTAATAGGCCTAGGGAGATAAGAGGAAATATTATTCCAAGACTGGTTCTATATGAAAACTACTTTATTTCTATAATATATGTCTTGAATTTTCAAATAGTAAACAGTTAAAATTAGACGTAGTCTAAGGGGTAACTTGCAAATCAATAAGGTGTATCGATTATCGACTATCGATTATCTACATTTCAAGCTCTAATAGTTCCTGAGACATAAGAGAGCACGTGCTTCTATGTATATATATTATAGAATATATGTTATATTTTATATTTTTAATCTATGTTATATTTTTAATCTATGTAATCGCTATACCCTCAAATATATATATATTATCTCTATTTACTCGTTCACTTCAGGAACTCTCTCTCTCTCTCTCTCTCTCTCTCTCTAAATCCACTTACTTTTTATCCAGCCCGGCAGGTGACTGCCCACGTGATAGATCTTTTTCGTGTACTGCCCATTGCCGCCGGGTCCATCTTTGTAGGGCTCATTGATAATGATTTCAACTCCGCTGCCTTCGCCATGGCTTTCCTCTCGGCTCTTTTTCTGTAAGATGAAAATTTAGGAAATTAATATTGTCAACACAAAATGCTAAAATCTTATACTGATAGATGTAAATACTAAGCACTGTAATACTGTTTGAAGGTACTAATTATACTTCTAGCATTATGGAATGCTAATGCTAATTCTATTTGTAGTATTTATACTAATACTAATACAAAATAATAACTAATACATCTAATAATAATTCGAATGCTAAAATTAAGACAATAATATAAATTTTGATACGAGATTATAATGCTAAATATATACCTATAATAATATCACTAATACATGGAATATATATTATATATAATGATATTAATTATAATGGATAATGGATTAATTATAATGGATCAATGTATTAGCTATGCTAATACTAATAATAATATATATACAATAACATTACTAATATATATACAATAATATAAATTCCCAAATATGAATAAATATCATAGTACAGCTAATACTAACAATAATAATACAAATATATGTATACACCTATAATAATAACAATACAAATATATAAATAAATATATATAATAATAATACTAATAATAACAATACAAATATATGAATAAATATTTATAATAATAATACTAATACTTATATAGATGATTAGTGTTAATATCAATAAAATTATATTGGTCAAAAATTATCAATAATTATATTATATTCTCTTCCGCATCTAGGATAGATCAAATCATCAAACTGCATAATGCCGTCTATAGATAGGGTTAAGCTCTATCAACTTACCGCTATCATATACAGCTGGGCGATCCGGTACTCCTCGACGGTGAGGGGCAGTGGTATACGGTACTCTTTGATCAACATGTCTGCAGCTTATATTATTTATTTTTTTATTTATTTATTTATTTTTATTCTTTTTGGTCAGCGTCTTTGGTGTATTACGGCGGGTTTCAAATCTTCTGAGCTTCTCTCGCCTAAGCAGGCTTTCTTCTGTCGCTCTCTGATGGATTTCTGTTCGCTTCAGGCAATCATCGGTCGCTGTTGCTGTTGTTGTTGTTGTTGTTGCTGATGTTTGTATTATTATTATGTTGGCTATTGTTGTTGCCAGTGGTGTTTGTGCTGCGCATGGCTGAGGCGTTGCTGGCGTCTATGACCTGAAAATGTGGCAAGGTTGGATTACAATTTTGGCCTAGGGGTGGGGGAGGGGGGAGGGAGTGGGCTGCGAGGCATTGTGGCCATTGCCTTAGCTAATTGCTATGGCTTCCGTGTGATGTGCAGCAATATGTGCGCTCTAAAATGCAAATTGCCATTCATTTCGCCCTAATGTACCACCGGCCGACGCGTCGTCCAAGGAGAGCAAGCAAAATGTCAGAGCACTCGGACCATCTCCGGCTGTCAGACGGAACACTTTGCGCTGTCTATCAGAGCTAACGAAGCGCAATGAAAATGGGAATTGAAAATCTATGAAAAGGTCACCTCACAGTGCATCATGGAAAGCCAAAAGAAAATGCGTGAAAATTGCTCGACTTGTAGATATGCTGTACGAATTGTATTGAATGCAAATAAATCTCGGGCTTGGCAAGTTCTACATATTTGTATTTTATTTATTGTTTTTGCTCTAATTATAAATGTAAATTTGATAAATTTTTCAAATCCATAAACGACTTCTACATTAATTAGTTATCAATTCCATTTCACTTCATTATAACTAATTGCTTGAACATTTGATTAATCTACAGGGTATAGATTACTTGACTTAAGATATGCAAAGTTATTTTTCATTCTTTTTAATTTTAAATATTTTTCTTTATTATTTAATTCGTCTATAAATTATATTCCTGTAATATTTACAAACAACTTCTCTGCTCATTATACCCATTGGCTTGAAAATATATAATTTCCATACAGGGTATAGCAAGAGCGTCACTTGAAGTGAATTTGGTTTATCGTGCATAATTTTTGTATTTCGTTTTTTTTTTTTCTGTTACCTTGAACCGCTTTGCTAATTGGATTTATTGTTGACTACCGACAACAGTACAAAAACAAAGAGAACCGAGAACCGAACCCCGTAAGCTCCCCTAGCCCCTCCCACGCCCCCGCCACCTGCCCGTGGTTGTGGCTGTCACCGCTTGACCTACTCGATAAACAAAGAAAGCCAGTAAGAGTACTCGAAAATGGGGAGTGGCCGATTAGCAGATACCCTATATGCATAATGGCCCATATTCCCAAGGGCCGCAATCAGCATGCTCAAGTCATTTCGATGCTCACAAGTTATCGATAACTTATCGATGTACACACAGACAGGCATTGAATGAGTCTCTTTCTGACTAATTGATTCCATCTACCATATGTTTTGTGTTTTTACCCATATGCAGTAGCTGTTACAGTTATTGCCATGACTGATCCACATCAAAGCCACTTGTTGCACATATGTTACGCTTTGTTTGAATACGGTAATCGATCCGCTGACGAGTACGACATCATAACATGCTGATCGCCGTGATAATTCACAATTTGAGCCAAATGCTTAGCTATGCATTAAATGGTTCCGCCGAGTGCGGGGCAATAAAGATAAAACTGTAAACAACGATTGCGATTTATGGGATGGCTTACGGTCTAGACAATTGAAATACCTGAAATATGTATTAGCGAAATAAGTGTTGCAAGACTGCAAACTGGAAGCGGTTAAAGTGAACTTAACCTTTGATACCGTAAGGTCGTAGCCCTAATACACATTTGTCGCTTTTTATTATATTCCATTTTTCGGTCAATGTCTAAGCAAAGGTTGCACTTGACTCATTTGTCAATAGCAAGTACGAGGTAAAGTCTAGAGCAATTCCCATTGACGGCTCTATAAAGATTACGAAGTACCAAGAGATTAACGATAGACGATCTATTTTTAGATTATACACATATCTAGTCACTATATGCATGTTTTAGCTCCATGAACTAGCTGAGCTACATATAACTACCAAGAGTCTGAGGCGTGGCATCGTGTATGTGAATGTAATATGAAACCGTTCGCTTTGGGGACGTGCTCATGGGTCCCACCTTTTCACAGCTCCACAGCTCCTCTGTGAGCGTACATATAGAAAGTTGTAATACACTCATTATCGCATCATTGTTTTATGCCTGATAATTTTTGCACTTGAAATGAAAATATTGGATGGACTTTCAACTGGAAATTCAGATTGTAGTTGTATTTAGAAAGCTCTTTACACCTCAATTCTTTTATATCATTTTAATTGATAGAATCAAATCATATATTTCCAAGGAGTTTTTATATGCTGTTATCACTGAAGTCATCTAAAATTTAAATAAACCCATCTGATATTTATATTCGAATTTTCTTATATCATTTGAATCGATAGAGTTAGAGCCTAAATTTTCACTTTTTTTTTACATGCTGAGCCCGATTAAAGAACAGAAATTCGCATAAATCCATTATATTGGTTCTTATATCATTTCAATTAATAGAATCAGAGTACATATATTTTCAAGGGTTATTGACATGTTAAATTCAATAAATTAATCCGAAATTCGAATAAACCCATCTTAACATATTTCATTTCAGTCGACAGAGTGAGACTATAAATTTCCCAGGGTTTTCGACATGTTGAGCTCGGATTAAATAATCAGAAATTTGCATAAATTTTATTTTGTTTTATTATTAATAGAATGAGCAAACAATTCCAGAGGTATTTATCAAGCAGAGCCCGATAAATTAATCGATTATATAGTTTCAATTGATACTTTTCGCATTCTATAATAAATATACAAACGATTCTGTGCTCTTTCAGAGCATCCTCAAGTTCAATCTTTCCAAACTGATCTGAACATAGCGGAATGGTATTGTGTAATGCTTGAATAACTGGATTATGTTATTCTCAAGGCGTAAGGTTTTAACTGCATTGTGTTATTATTGACATTGTGATTTACTCAGCATTTAAAATGAATATAGAGTTTTGCAAGTGTATCGCATATGAACGTATCGGTATTCAGGCCTAGTCACCTAATGGACTTGGCCTTGCCTGCTGGCCACTTTACGGCTGTCTCTGCCAATTGGAACTTAATTAATGGACATTTCATGATTGACAATGTTGCCTTGCTTTGCATTTCCCTTTACCACTGGCTTTCGAGCACCCACATAATATAACTGTCCATCATGCCCACGCCTACGCCGAAGCCCGCCCCCGTTGCAAACATCATGTGTTGGACGTGTGCTCACTGAAAGGAGGCACAAAAGCAGTAATCAATAATTATGAGGGACAACGAAAGCGACAGCGTTGGAATGGTGAAAGGCATTAGGGAGGAAAATAGATACACAGAAGCTATATATACATACACACATTCATATAAAATATGTATATACATACAGGGCATTTCGTAATAGATCTCAAGATTCATTTGAATCGAACATGAATGAGAACTTAATGTAAGTTCTTTCTAGTCCTTAAACTGATATGTAATCTAAGTTAGATACAATATCTCAGCTAAGAATGTTTTAAGTAATGTCTTTTAACTGAATGTCAATATTTAATTAGTGAGTTTCATTTGCACAATAAACTCTAAAACCTCTGTTATAAAAGTAATATTAAAATGTAAAAATGCGAGCAAGTATGCTGTATGAAAAGGGTTTCCATTACATTAAGCATAGGCATAGCTTTTCATTTTGTTTGCTAAATTGCCCTTCAATAAGAGTGAATAAATCTTTCATAGCCATAGACGATTTGTATAGTATAATTGATATACATGGGCGATAAGAAATCTTATTATCGTGCTATAAAGCGAGAGAAATCAAAAATTCGCCGAATTATCTTAGCAGATATCAGAACAGATGTTTGTCTGCTTATGCCCCGTTATAAAGAAGAATAACAAAATTGGGTAAACAAATATGTGCACAGATAGACAGACAGGCAGACAAACGGACGGACGGACGGACCTAATAGGCATACCTACATATTCATATACTAGTTATTTTTGCCGTGTATAAATCTGTGCACTTTGCACGTAACATGAGAACGGGTCGTGTTTATAGCCTGTCTGTCATTCTACAGTTTGTTTTATGACGATCAAGTGTGTGTCAAGCGGGTTGGAAGAGTTCGCAGCAGGAAATTTGGGAGGCAGCAGCAGTAACAGCGAAAACAGCAACAGCAGCAAATAAAACTGCAAATATTATAAGGTGTGTGACAGCAACAAAGTTTGCATGGCAACGGTGAAGCGAAACAAACAACAATATGAAAATGCACGTAGTGCGCTTACACACACACGCACACGCACACACACACACAGTCACAGGACTGAATGGAAAAGCAGAAGTGGTAAAAGCGCAAAAAATTACAAACTTGATGCTGAGCCCCGTTTTTAATGCCTTATTATGTTATTGTTTGCACGCTTTGCTGCTTGATGAATAAATTGCCACAGTAATTGGACGCAGGCAAATGTAAAAAATACATAACAACAACAGAAATGAAGAAAGCCCCAAAAAGCGCAAACGGTAAGCGCCGAGTTGCCGCTATGCCGACTATTCAGGCAGAAATAATTGAATATGAAAGGCCCGGAAGTAAAATAATGAATGAGAGTGTGTGTGACAGAGAGAGACGGTCAGCTCACTGTCAAGAACGAGGATGACGAAGGAACAGCAGAAGAGAGTTGTCTTATATGTATGTATGGGTGATCATTAGCTGTGCTCTTCGCTATTGCACTTCGCACTCCTTGCATAAGTGTGCGTATGTGCAAGAGCGAAGCGGAATTTGCACACATAAACACACACACACAAGCATAGCCATAACGACGGTGGTGGTAAAGGCAATGCAAAATACAAAGGTTAACGGCGCATGCAGCAGCAACGAAAACAAACAGAAACTGGACAAGCTTTGACACTCTACACACACACACATACATTCATACACACGTGCTCAGAGGCGCACAGTCACTAATAAAAGATAGAGGAGGCAAAGGCACGCAAATACAATTACGTATACGAGTGTTACTCGCAGAGGTCGAGCGCTCGCTCTCTGTGCACACCTGTGGCGCGCTTTATGTTTATTAATAATTTATAAATATACCAACAACAGAAGCAGCAGCAGAAGCGACCAACAACAGCAACCATGGTGATGGTCCAAACGTACGCACTCAATATACATAATTTAGCCCTAGGCTCAAAACAGCCAACCACAACAAGACAAAAACAAAAACAAGTAAAGAACGCTTTAGTCAGGCGCAATTTGCTGCAAAACAGTTGCTCAGTTGTGGCAAAACAGACAAATTATTTTATTGTTACCAAATTACAGTTTTCTAATTGAGCTAAATCATTGTTTAATGGAGCGTGAAAGCTGTATACAGTAATAGCTGTATAAATAATGACAGCTAAGTGAATACACCAATATACTCTTTTATTCGTTCCGTGAGCTAGTATGACTATCAACAACGGACGAAAAAAAAAAAAGAAAAAAATCACAAGCACAAGAGAACATTTCAATGATACAACTGGGAGCCGCAAAACATTAAATTTTAGCTGTGCCTCGTTTTGGGAGCTTAAATCAAATCACATGAAAATGTGTGAGGCCGTCCAGTCACGTAAGGAAAACCGTGGAAAACCATATTGGACTGGAAAAGCTAAGCCGAAAGCAGAAAATTTAAATGCCATAATCTAGTTGAAAATTCTTATCACACACATACATTGTATGTATGTATGTATGTCTGTAGTTATGCATGTACGTGTACGCGCGCACGCATACATACGCATGTGTAGTGCATATGTACGCACGTGTATTGCATATACATACACATATACGCGCGACACAAGTTTGTGTGCGTGTGCGTGCTGGTGTTGCATGCCTTTTAGTAGTTTGTTGTTGTTGGTGTTGGTGTTGGTGCTGAGATAGAAACCTTGGGAGCTGGAGAGAGCAAAGCTCGAGTCCAGGGTCTGAGCTTACGCATTTACGTTTACGTGCTCACAGCCAAACAACCACCCACCCATCAGCAAACTGCATCACACATTTTTCCGTTATCCTTACTGTTTTGCGTGTTTCATTAATTTGATTGCAACAATTTTACAATAATAACACACATCACAGGAAAAACAAAACAAAAAACATACTACTGATGCATATTTAGGGAACTCACATATATATTGCCAGCAGCTGTGCGCGATTATAAACAATATATGTATATGTATACCATCGATATCAACAAAATAAATAGAAAACAGGAAAATGAAATGAATATGACAACAACTTTTTTACAACAAAATTGTTTTTAACGCGCTGCTTAGCTAAAATCCACACACGCGAGAAGAAAATTTGTTTTTATTAAGTTTTCTTGCCTCTTGCTGCTGCTGCTTTTTGCAATCACAAAACGCACACAGGGAACGAAAGCGTAGGCGTTGCGAGCGACGGCTGCGACGACCGACTCACGTCCGCGTTCGCTTTTGAACTAAAAACGAAAACGAAACACAACCAGCTGAAAGCAGCAGCAGCAGCAGAAGCGCCAACAAGCTGATGTACAGAAAGAAGAGAGAGAGAAAGAGAGAGTGAGAGAATAAAGGAACGCATGGGGTATTCCAGAAAGTATACCAACATACATACAATGCTAAATGCTAGCAATATAATTCATTCGTAGATTTGGTAATGAAATGTATAAAATTCAAAATATCAAGTTTCATTTTAACCATTTTTCCATACGTCCAAAAAATTTGATAACTATACATACATATGTACATATATTCAATTATTTTTGTATTATTTATTTATTTTTGTATAATAACGAATGCTGGCTAATGTTTCGCAGAACGCCCTAAAAATTTGATCAAAAAACAAAAAACGTGCGAGAAAGCATCTGAACGTAAGCAAAACGCTCTCACTTGTGTTTGAATTATAGCCGACACATACCTATGTATGTACATACATACATACAGACATTGGGATCAGACTTCTTCAGCACTTAAAATGTGTGCGTCAGGTCCGCACTCAGTTCAAGTCTCTTACTTTCAGGCTTGATCAACATTACGCGGTGCACTTACTTTCACATACTTCCTTCAATTCTTCCATGATATACAAATTTATGAAATAAATAAAATATGCAGATGCACTTACATACATGCATACACACATATGACATTATTACAAATATGTACATATGTACTTAAATCTATTCCCATCTGATAAGTTATCATTAAAAGATTAAAATGTGACAAACGCTTTCATGATTTTGCTAAACTCTTCTCTGTGAAGAGAAGCAACGGGACCTGTCAGTGCAAAAATGTAAATTTTTGTGCACCGCTTCTTGTGCGCACATTCACACACGTGCAAACATACATACATATGTATGTATGTATTCCTGTTTGAGAGAGCAGGGCAGAGAGTAAGCTCGAAAATTGTGCACAGCGACTCTTCATTTCACAATAAACCATCTCTGCCTAGCGCTCGGCGTGTCGGGATTGTGGGGGTCCCACTTGGGTTGTTGTTGATCGAGGCTGAAAGTAAGGAACACGAACAAACACGAAGCTGAGTTGGAGCTGCCACAGATGCTTGCCTCGATGTTGGATGGTTGGTGTCCGTAAGCAATGGAAATTCACGAAAGGGGTTCGCAAATTAGATTTAGCTATTAAATGTCATTCACGCTTATGGCTACGTAACACAGGTGTCGGCGTCCTTGTTTATCCGAAGGCAGAGAAAGAGAGCGATATACACAATATATACGGAAGGAGAACAAATCATTCCCGATGGCGTCTATTTCAAAAAGGGGGTTGTTGATGGCTTGGGGCAAACAACTGACGTAAAGGTCGCGCTGGACTGCCAAGCATCCCACTTAGAAATGTGCATATATGTACATATGTACATACATATGTATGCTTTTGAAACTGACTAGATAATGAATTATTTGTATGGCTATCCACATACATATGTATGTACATACATACATACACATACATATTTGCATTAAGTCTTATACAATGAGCAGCAGCGGGAACTCTATCAGCTCAAACGTAAGTTGATGGCGTTGTTGCGTCGTTTCTGCGGAAACAACAAGTCTACAAACAAACACGCATACTCGAGCTTTCCACTGTCTGTGTTGCCTGTAATCTATTGTATCCTGCAATATAGAGTTCAACTTTGACATTTACAGAAGGAAAATACACATAGCGCATGCTCCTCCACTCTGGAGTGGAGTACAAGCCACACATATTTAAATGTAAACATATATATGTATATGTATGTACGTACATATATGCATTTATACACTAAAAGGACGCCAAGCAACGCCCGCAAAAATTCAAATGTTTGCTTTCTTCGGTTCAGGAAAACTATCGATAAAAAATAAACGCATATCTGCTTTTCATTCGGATAGAACAGAATTGCGCGCGAAGTTTAAAATATTGTAAAAGCAAACGCAATTTATCTGTTAAATGCGCAAGAATATTATGTTAGTTTTCCATAATTGCGTTAAGAATATATGATGGATGGATGTATTTTAATTAATTTTATTAATATAAGAAATTTAAGATAATTACATTGCCAAAACAAAAAGTAAAAATAAAATAAAACTAGCGAAGGCAAAAAAAAAGACGAATTAAACAACTGCTAATTACTTTCTGTGTTGTTGTTTTTTTCTGTATAAGAATATTTTGCTCACATAGAACAATTTTTACATTCTTTTTATTGTTCAAGCAGTTCTGGGATTGGGATTTTCGTTGATGCCTCCCTTATATTATGGCCATGCCCTTCACTAAAACATAAGGAGTGGGATTTTGGGTGTATGTATATGTAGTTTGTAACTGGGTAAAGCTGCTTTAGAAATGAAGACTATGGCTCTTGTGTGGGTTAGCGTGGTGCGATCAGCGACGGAAATAGGTGCATCAATGGAACATCAGTTAGCGGCCCAGAATGCTGCGTGACCACTGTTTGACAATCGGCTTAGTCTTCGACTGTTCGATGCGCTCAGCCTCCTGCATCTGTTCTGCCAGCTTACGCTGATTTTCCCTGAACTGACTAATTGGATCCGCAAACTGACGATAATAATGTAGTACTTCTCGCACATCGTCCACCTCATTTTGCGCAATGACTGCAAGACAGAAAGTTGAATTTTGAAACAATTAAATATTCAAGTACTCATATCTGACTCACTCTTCAGAAAGGCTATCAAATCAAATAGTTGGGAATCATCGTCATTTCCATCCCAGCGCGCAATGCCAAAAGTATTGTCGGGATGCATTTGGGTGGCATTTCTATCCCAGTCAACAACAATCACCTGAAACGAAGCCAAATCTGTTGAGGATTCGAATAATCATTAAGTAATCAATGGCGAGACTTACGCGTTTCAGGTCACGATTTAAATTGTCCAGATTTTTGACATGATGCCCATCGATGAAATGAGTTGCATCGCGCACCAGACGGTACATAATGTAGCCATTCGGATCCAGGGCATCCAATATCGGAAATACTGTCATACCCTGTTCGGCAGTGAAAACGACTATCTCAAAGTCTTTGGCGCACTCCTGCAAGAAACTATCGACGCCGGGACGCTTCTTGAAGCGCCATCCAGTCTTATATGTCCAATCTGGATGTACCAGCACATCCTTCATCTCCAGCACGAGCGTATAGCGCGGCTGCACATACGGATACTTTAGCGGATCTGGCAAGAGCTTCGCACGCGACGGTTCCTGAATCATCTTTTGATAATAGTGCAACGATTTCCACATGCGCTGTAAATACTGCTGCACCAGCGGCTTGTCTATGAACTCATCCTCAATGATCTGACCCTCAGAATCCACTTCGGGCTGTCCAAATTTATAGACGCCCCACAGTACAGTGGCAATGCCGCCGCCGCCAAAAATGGCAAAACTAATGGACAGAGGATATGCAAAATTGTTGCTTCAGGCATGAGAACGTTTGAATGCGTTGGTGATTCTCACCCCAGTTTCATGCGCTTCCACGCGCGTTCATTCTCCTTAGCCTCATCCTCCTCACGCTTCTTACGCTCCTGTTCGGCAGTGCTGTCGACATCGGGCGAAGTTTGTGGAAAGAGTTTGGAGAGCAATGGCGACGCTGTCTCTGTCGCTGCTCCAGTCGGCGGCTCTTCTGCGTAAAAGTGTTGAGTAATCAATTGGGTCAGGGCGCAGAAAAAAAAAAAACGACAATAAAAACTACTTACTGGCATTACTATAGCATCTTTTGCCTGCGCTAGCAACTTGCACTTTATTTGTGTGGATCCCAGCAGCCGTAGTAAGCGAACGGACATGTAAGGGCGACGACGACGGCGACAATGACAGCGACTGATTACCCAATGCGAATGTGCGCCGCAATCGGTTGGCCAGTGTGATGAGGGAAGCACGTGGTGTATTTAAGCGAATTAATTGTATGACTGGAACTGGCGCCATGCTCATTTTTATGTTCATGAAGTGCTGCGCACAAATTCCTATGCTTTCTCACTGACTAAATGCACTTTTCCTTAGTTGCTTTAGTTGGCCAGGTTGAACCCCCTAGGACTTGACCGGCATGGCAGCGAAAATTCTTGCATATGCTGTCTGCCGTACGGCCACACTGACCGAAATCAGCTGACTCTTGCCTATCGAGACGGTCTGGCAGCGCCATCAATTAGAACTGACTAAAGAAATTGTGTATAAACAATAGCCACTAAAGCCAAACAAAAGCAGCCATAACGACAACGGGAACCAATACGAATAGAACAAAGACGATTAATTTTAATTTAAATAAATAAAATAAAATGTCCGTTTCTGAGGACAAGTCATCCCTTGAGCTTGTAGCTGATCTACAGCCGTGCCGAGTTTGCAATGTGCTATCCACACAATCCTATTCGCTTTACAAGCCGCACATCATCGCCGGCGAACTGACTACGCTTGGTGCGCTGCTCAGCTACTGCGCTAATTTACAGGTACTCGAGGAGGAGGAATTCCTGCCTACACACATTTGCAAGCGGTGCGTGGAATCGCTCACTCAGGTGTACGATTTCAAACGTACTGCGCTGCGTACGGACCACGTGCTTAGGAAGCGTAATGCTCGTCTATCTAGAGCCAACATATCTCGATCTCCATCGCCGGCGAATCTTGTCGATGTTGAGGCTGTGCATCCGACTGTGCCTGAGCCTGAGCCTGAACCTGAGACTGACCCTGAAGCAAATGCTGTCGTCGAAGCGGCGAGTGCGGATGAATATGTCTATATGCTCGAAGAGCCAGAATCACCCGTGAACAGCGTCGCATCCCAACAACCAGATGACGATCACGAGCCTGTGCCTGACGAAATGCTGGAGAGCGAGCTGAACTTTGAGAGTGACGATCCCACTGTTGAGATCTTTGAGGTGAACTACCATCTGCCCGAGGAATATGAAACCGAGCCGTCATTGAGTATCATACAGGCGGACATCGGCATCAAGCAGCGTCCGCAGCAGCGCCGTAAGTCCCACAATCCCGCCCTTCAGTGTCCGGTGAGCACAAATATCCAAAAACTCGAGACTTTAGCATAATCTCTATATAGTTGATAATCGATCGTTCTATCTCTTACAGATTTGTGGCAAACAGCTAAGCACCAGTAATTCATTCAAATATCACATGCAACTGCACGGCGACAATCGACCCTTTGTCTGCAGCATTTGCGGCGATTCGTTTAAGACACGCAACGCCTATGATGGCCACATAACACTACACAACCCGAACAATCCCAACAAGTGTACATACTGTGGTAAGATCTACAGACAGGCATCATCGCTGCGCTCGCACCTGTTCAGTCACAGCGGCGTCAAGCCCTTTACTTGCGACATCTGCGGCAAGGGCTTGACCCAAAAGTCTGGCTACAAAAAGCACATGCTCACCCATACGGGTGAGAAGCCGCATACCTGCGACACCTGCGGGCGCAATTTCCGCTACTCAAGTAACCTGATTGCGCACAAGCGCTCCCACATACGAAAAAGTCCCACCAACCCGAAGCCAGCGGGCAATAAAAGGCCGAAATGCCAGAAGACGGCCCAAACGTGAACGAATCCAAACGGTTCGACTGGCCACGCCCACCCCGCTCCCCCCAAACACACACACACGCACAAGCTCATACGCTCACACACACACACACAGAGAATAAAACCTGAGAAGACGGCAAATAAAAGAGCTATTTGGCATTTGAAATTAACGATTTTTATAATCAATGAATCTTTGGCTGGTTATGATTATCCCTTGCCTTGGCTATTGACTTTTATTACAATGAAAGCGATTGGAGAACGTCCATGTGCAGTTACAACTGCCGCTTCCTGGCAAACCTGGATCTGGAGCTGACTTCAGAATATAGTCCTGGACATATGTCCTCTTTGACCGGTCGAATGGAAGCGATTAAAAAACGTGCAAGACCTCAGGTGCAAGATTTCTCAGCTCGCAATAATTTGAAGAAGGCCCAACCGCGCTTACAGCTGTAACCAGTCGATGGATCGAATATTCCTTCGGTAAAGTATATCCCATTTTTATGGGAAATATACATATGTATATATCAATTATAAGCTATATATTAGCATAGCAGTTTGTCAACCTGGTTAAGATCCCATAATTCCATCCTTAATCTTACATTCATATCAGTTTAGCATAAGATAATTTTGATTGATATGTGGATTTTATAAAATTATTATTTTAATATTTATTTATTTATTTTATATATATATATATATATATATATATATATATATATATATATATATATA